GCTACAGGGAAAAGGCTGGGGATAGTATAGGAACTGCTGACTTCAGCATGAAGATCTGGGTAAGCATGTGAGAGTCCCGAGCTTTGGATGGGACATCTCAGCGTCTATAAGTATCACAACAGGAAAGTTCATGTTTAGTCCACAGAGCTCTCTTAGTTGCTCGTTGGCATCTGCACCAAGGTCACATCCTTGACACTATTTGTCACCTCTTTCAGAGCATCCCAAGGTAAGTCTGTAGAGACAAGGACCAGCTGGGCACTTTCAGGCAAGTCAGAAAGTTTAGAAAACAGTTCTGGAAATGAAAGTTGGAAAGACCTGGGTTATTTAGTCTACATAAACCTGAAAATTTATGTAAATGATTGTTCTAAAACAAAGGCAGCAAATAAGTGAGGAACTTAAACTGTAGCACCGATTTACATTGTAACTTGGGAAAAACAATTGTAAGACATTATAAAGTTTTCAAGGTGTCCAAAAAGCCTTTTTTCCTGGTTGAAATGCCAAATCTCTACCTTCTCCTCACTAAAAGATTTAGGGATCAAGAGAGAATGCTGAACAACTTGAATATCATTGGTGTTTTAAGAGGCAACAATCAGTCAAATTTCTCTTCAATTCATGGGACAAACCATGCAATATATATGTACAGATATAACTTCCTCCAGTTACTCTGATTAGAAGTGAGAGATTGCAAGCATGAAGAAGGGTAATCACATACTAGAAGCTATTTTTTATTGTAGACATGACTATAGTCAGGCTGAATTACTTTGCTTCTCTGAACTACAGATGCAGACAACTGCAAAACTCTCCAGTTTCATGCAAATTAGGTGTTGCTATAGACTACCAGTCATTTAAGTTGCCATCACAACCTTTCTCAGTTTGAGGAAGTTTGGATACTCTACAAGTAATTAGTACCAGTAATCCGCTGTGCAAGGTGTCTGCCAAATTCACTGCATAACTACTTCTCCTAGTTATCATCTTGTAAAAGAACAGTGTGTCATGCAAATAATCAGTTCACTATTTTCCTTTGAACTACCCTTCAATTAATTTATCTTTATAATATGTATGAAAAGGACAACAAAGATGAAAAATTGCACTCTAAAAAAAGCCAGGTAACAAGACAAGAATGACCATCCGTTACATACACAGTTATCATAAAATGACCTCATCTAAATACAACCATTTACAGCAGCTCACCAAAAGCAGTTCCCCCTCCTTGATATTAAACAAGCAAATTTACTTTTGCAAGACTGGCAGCACCTTTGGATGAGCAGAAGGACTCTTAATATTTTTAGAGCTTTTCAGATACAGAAAAAAACCCTGAAAGAGCAGAGAAATGCAATGAAAAAAGGACATCCACTCAGAAAACAAACTTCTCCACAGATGAAGAAAAAATCTCAAACATATTCTTAAATGCTATTGATCAGATAACACTGGCAGGAGAGGGATTTCACATGGGCAAAACAATTTCCATCATCATTATGTTGATTCAAACAAATGTTTTGCATAACAAAAGAAGACCAGTCTACAGTCTAATGAATGTGCTCATTAACTGCAATAGCTTTAGCTGGAAATTGAAGGGGGAGTGACTTTAGAGAAAAAGAAATCAAATCAACTCATCCCAAGATACTGCTGCATTTTCTGTTTAGAAAATAAGAGGAATTGTTTACAAAAACGAAGGTGGAGAGTCTATTTTTGTTGTGTACGTGCATCTCTCAGCATTTTGTCTAACCTTAGAAACAGTGTTTTTGAAATGTGTGCTGAAAATTCCATGCAGTTTTCACAGAGATTCTAAGGCTGTGTTCCTCAACTCACTGTTAGCAAATAATGACATTTCAGTGATCACAGTTTATCTAGAGCCAATAGCTGAAAGTTAACCTTGGTATAGCAAGCTACTTAATAGACCAAACTAGGCAAGGTGTCCTCAGCTTTCTATGCTGCATCCCACTGCTGTAAAAAAAGCATCCATCATGTTAGCTGCAGAGCCAACATGTAACCTGGTGAGGAGACATTGCAGGAACGTCTCTTCCAGTTGGTAGTCCCTTTGTCTCTTATCTTCATGCAGTGTTCTGAGTTCAAAGGATGGCACAAGTCTAAAATCCCCAATACATCTATATTTTCCTATAATTGACACCCCATGAGTTTTGTTACTCTACTGTGGGTGCAGAAGCTACATATGATGCATTACTGGTGCTTTTTTATATTCATGCAAGCCTATTTTCCTACTCCACTTTCACAGGCTTTTAAATATTAGTTTAGCATTTGCTTTGCCATATTGTCTGTCTGAGCCATTGTTATGTCTATGTTGTTGTCTCTACATTGTTTGAGTACCTCTTTTATATAACACTTCTAAAAGCCTCTTGCCCAAGAAGTTAAGCTCAAGTACTTGAATGAAAAGCAGCTCTGTTCAATTAAGAAATCCTTGTGTAAGGAAGTTGAGAAGAGTTATGTAATATGAAGCTGTTACTTCTATCTTTTTCCAATAACTTTGAAGTTATAAAATGGCATCCCTGTTGCAAATCTTCTTAGAAAGGATAATTGTTCATAAATTAATACTATAAATTTTATAACACTCTGCTGGATTAGATCTAAAGAACTGTTCCTCTGAAAAAGTTATAAAGACATTCATTACAAGAAAAAAATTTATTTCTAAGTTGTTTTTGAGAAAAGTCATAAAGATGAGATACTGACGGCACAACTCTTTTAAATTCCATTCAGGTTAGGGTTGTTGTTTTTTTCTAAATATACTACAGAAAACCTATCACTTCCCACATTCATAAAACCTGTCAGATTTTATAAGGATGGATAAAACTGCTTAAAAACTTGCCAAAGATTAAGATGAATGCTTTGAAGAAAAGTTTAAATATCTCATAAATTAAAAAGCCCTTCTGTGGCTTTTACCACAAACCAGCCCATAAATGGTTCTAGCTCTTGGTCCAGTAAATAGTCCTGCTGGATGGTGGGGATTCTTGGCTGTTTGGAGCCTCCTGAGTGTGGTTGGGAACATTAACACTTGTGTTTATCCCTAACTGGATCTGAGCTTCAAAGTTAATATTCCAAGTGCTATAGTCAAGCTGAACATCATTGCTTGTCTTTCTCCTGTCATGAAAGTATATTTTCTTCTTTTACACTGAGTAATTCAGTGCATTTGAAATCTGAAACATGTTTATTAGTCGCTTCATTTGCACTCGACAATGAATATTATTTTTGCCACTGGTAAAGATATTTATTGACTTTGAAACTGCGCAAAGATATAGTTAAGAGTCTAGTGTCCTGTGCAGAAGGAAGTACTGGTTGAGGTCTTGACTTCTGCACTGGGTGAGGACAGTTGAGTCCCTGTGCAGAGGAGAGGGACTGTGCTGGGGACCAGTGCCTGCAGCAGGTTTCCTGCCTGCTCTGCAATACCGGAGCTAAGTTTAAGCCAAGCAGCCAACAATCAAAATAGAACAACAGAACCAAACAGATGAAGGTCGTCGACATCAGTCACACTAGGACTAACTATTTTAAATTAGAGTTAGCTTTAAACAACTCATAAAGTTTTAAAATAAGACAAATTAAAGTTTTTTTATTACCTTTAGTTTTTCAACTTTCAGAATTTAAAGGTGCTCTCTATAGTCAGTAACATCAGTGTCTTTTTAGAGGGAAAAAAAAATGAGATTCTTCTACAGTTTTCTAACTGTAAGACCTGGCTTTTGAAAAACTGAAACGTAAAACAACATAAATCTGGAATGGCCTGATAAGATATGTATATTTCTAGTGCAGTTGAGTGAAACTTTGTAAGTGTCATTACTTTCAAGAAAATCCATTGTGAAGCTGGGGAAAGAGGAATTGTCTCCTGGAGACATTCATGGTCAGGCATGATAGGCTTCTGAACAATCTGGTTTAGTTAGAGATGACCCAGGTTATTGTAGGGGTGTTGGACTAGATGACATTTATAGGCCACTTTCAACCCAATACCTTCTATGATTCTATGAATTACCCTGAGAAATTTGTGACATTTTGTTTGATTTGGATTTTCAGCCACTTCTGGCTACTTGTGGTCAGAGTATTGCAAGCAGAAAGAGACATTCAAAACCCACCTGGATGAGTTCCTGTGTGATGTACTCTAGGTGACCCTGCTCTGGCAGGGGGGTTGGACTAGATGATCTCTCGAGGTCCCTTCCAGCCCCTAAGATTCTATGATTAATACCTTCTATGATTCTATGAATTACCCTGAGAAATTTGTGACATTTTGTTTGATTTGGATTTTCAGCCACTTCTGGCTACTTGTGGTCAGAGTATTGCAAGCAGAAAGGTTAATGGATAGGGGTTAAAATCCTGAGTGCAACACAGTGTCAAGTAATTTCATAGCACTCCAGCCACCGGCAAAAAAGAAAGAAAAAACACATGGATCTGCATGATGCTTCATTAGTTGTGTCTGCAGACAGGATTTATTGCTTCAGATGTAGTGTCATACTGTCACATCCTCTGAGCTATGAGCTGGTGTTTCTGCTTGAGCAGTGTCAGCCCACTCAAATTTGCTTCTAGCTCTTTGTGCCATGCCCCATTGTGCAGTATAGATATGGACTGCAATTCAGTCCTGCCCTTCACACTGCAAGGGGTCTTGTCCTCAAGGTCATCCATCTCCTTTCAGGTAAGAGAAGGATCATCTTGGTGTCAGTAAACCACTGAATTAAAGATTTTCTCTGTAGAGCTCAGTGAGGTATTGTGTGATGTAGAGATGTGCTATACACAGCAGATTTTAAGATCTCTGATTTTTTAATGATGTTTCAATTACCTGAAATGAAGGATGAAGAATATAGCATCTGAGTAGAAGATGGCAATGACAAGCCTAAGGAAAAGGAAAACACTGAGTTCTTCTACTAAAAGTCTTACAGGTCCTTTAGTAGACTCCACTCAGAACCACAGGTGTGGGAGTGTGTTCTACAGCCAAAAATTTTATTTTTAAGAAAGTTCTTTTCCTACTCCATGGAACGGTTAATGTTGTCTCTCATTTATCCCTGCAGTGATGGCTGGGCAGACAGGTACGATGTGACAGATGGGTATCAGCGTGAAGCTGTTGGTGGAATAACAATCAAACTCCAGTCTCCTGATGTGAAATGGTTTGATGACTACTACCTACAGCTTCGGCCAGAAACCAATCACCGAAACCCATGGTTTCAGGAATTTTGGCAGCACAGATTCCAGTGCCGGTTGGAAGGGTTTCCTCAAGAGAACCCTAAATACAACAAGACTTGCACAAGTAAGTCAATTTATTACTTCTACTTTATACACCAGCATGACTGAAGATCTGTTGTAAACAGCTCACGCTGAACAGATGCAGCAGGTTCTCCTGGAATAGTGAGTGGGGATGGAAGGAAAAAGGCTGGAATTGCAATATTTGTTATTTTCAAAATGTCAGCCACGACAATTTAGAAAGTATTCAAATCTCTAAAGAAAAAAAATAGACAGTACTGAACTCCTTTCTGTATTTGGAAAACTTGATGCTACTCTATATAATTAGTAATCTGAACACTTTCAAAAATGCTTCTTTTCTGAAACAACGTTATTCGTATTGTTTTACCCCACAGGACCCAGGAGAGAGTTAATATACTAAAATTTATCTGAAGTCCATATGGTAATGATGATTATTTGTGTACTTCAGAAAGAAGACTAACTGGTTTGAAAGATTTCATTAGGTTTTCTGTCAGCCATGAGTCATTTCAGGAAATGTAATTTTGAGCTGATATTTTCCATTAAAACACACTGATTTTAGCTAAAATTGCCACAATATTTGTCATTTTTGAAAAACAGAGGCAAAAACTTTTTTCTCCCAGACAGATACGGGGTGTTTGGTTTCTTTGCTTGTTTTTATTATTACTTCTGTTAATTACTCTTTATTTAATGAGATGCCAAACAATACTAAAACAATGGGCATCCTGCTGGTCTTGTGGCATAAGGTGTTGTTATCCTGGGCATTAGACCAACCACAACTCTAAGCCCTAAAAATATCAGCATCTTCCATGCAACCTTGAGACCACAAAATGGCTTTCAGGATCAAAGTCTTGGATTTATACAACACAAAACCCCACATAAGTCCCACTTAACTTTCCTAAATCAGTCTTTCAATTTTTATATGGTCACAGAGGATGTTTGTGACCGAGTTGAAAAATGAGTGTAGGAATCACAAAATCTCAGCCTACACCTTCAATATTCAACTGGGTTGCCTCCATTATATTTCTTCTGTTTCCTTGCCAACACAGTATAACAAAGGCTTTATTTGCACTGTTGACAGGTACTGAATATTGAGCAGTAAACTTCATTGATTTCCCCATGATGATGTAGATCTCTTTCCTGAGATGTCTGTACAGTGGACATGCCTGGATACAAGCTGATAAAGTCCTGGTTTCTACTACTGTGCTGTGTTAACAACAATATATACACTTGACTTTTCTGGTTTTCTTTTCTTTTCCTATTTTTTAGCAACACTGGGAATCTAATTTCTGTTTTATGTGGAAGATTTTGAACTGTGAAATATAGGTGCTTACAGATTCTTTTATAGTTACTCAAATGCATTTAATCAGTGCAAAGAAATTATCTTGGGGGTGCAGGGAGATGTTATTTTAGACACGAAGTTGCCTAGTCATGGATATGAGACAACTTAATCATAAAACTGGAATAGGTTGTTTTGAAGAGCAATCATCCTTGGGAGGTTTCCCACAAAGAAATCCTGAGTGATCTGCAGCTCAAATAGATTCCTAAAACAAAAGAATGTCAAGCACACAAAGAAATGTGCAAGAATTGCAATCTGCTGATTTGCAAATCATGAAAAGAGAAAAGCACTAATTTCCTAAATTCATTGTTCTAATTACTTATCCTCCAGCTTTATTGTTGTAGTCAATGCTGGGCCATGATGCTTATTAGAAAAGAATAAAAACCAGATTATAATAGCTTTAATTCTTTCTTGTTGCTGTAGGGCAGAAGATAGTAATTCAGTTGTGGATTTCCCCAGAGTAACAATACTATGTGCAGAAATCAATTAAAATTGCCCATTTAATCAGAGTTTTCACAAAAGAAGTTGATACTCATCATGTTCCTCAGATTTATAGTTTTGATTTTGATCTAGAACATCTGTCAAAATACATATAAAGGAAATTCAAAGGTTGGCCAGAAGGATGACATGCAGGAAAGACACAAATGTATTATCTGAGAATTGCAGGAGGCAGAGACTTTGATGTTGGGATTTTAACCTCAATAATAACAAGAATTTTTTACTGTCGTCACAGTTTTTGTTTCTACCTCATTTCCTGTCTTCTATATGATTATGCATATTAAGTCTTTAGAGCAATTCCTACATTCTTTTTTGGTTTCTTAGCTTCAAGCACTCAAAGTTTTGAGTCATACCTTCCCTTATTTCCACTTCACAACTGTAGAGATGGTATTTGCCCTTGATGGTCACAAGGATTTAGGGCAACAAAGCTGGTGAAGGTTGTAGAGTGCAAGCCCTGTGAAGGGCATCTGAAGGAAGTGGGGTTGTTTAGCCTGGAAAAAAGGAGTCTGAGGGGTGACTTTATTGCTCTTTACATGAAAGGAGGTTGTAGCAAGGTTGGGGTCTGTCTCTTCTCCCAAGTAACATGCAACAAGACAAGAGAAAACAGACTCAAGTTGATCTGGGGAGGTTAAGATTAGATATTAGAAGAAAATTTTGCACTGAAGTGGTTATCAAGGACTGGAATAGGCTGCCCAGGGAGGCGGCTGAATCATCAAACCTAGAGGTGTGTAAGAGATATGTAGAAGTCGTGCTTAGGGACACGGTTTAGCACTGGTCTTTGTAGAGTTAGGTTAAAGGTTGGACTTGATGATCTTTAAGGTCTTTTCCAACCAGAATGATTCTGTGATTCTCTGAGATTTCATGGACTGTCTTGACAGTTTCTGCATGATGATGAATATATTTGTGCTGCTTCAGATTTATCTTAAAAAGAAAACAAGACTATGTCCTTTAGTTTATGTAACTGAACACATTCTCTTCTCCAGCATCTGCATTAAAAAAAAATAAAGCAACAATATAAAAATGTTAAAGGTGTTTCTCAGGATTGCAATTAAAGAGATTGAGTTTATAGAGAAATGCTGGAGAGAATTAGAAAGCTATTTTGGCAACAAAAGGCAAGCTATTCTTTACTTCTTGGCATAATAGTGAAAAAATAAACATAAAGCCCATTGGTGGTGATGGATGAGATCATTGTTAAATGATGGTGTCTATACAGAAAACAATAACCATTACTTTAGTGGAATAAAAATTAATTATTCTTCACAAACTGGTTGTTCTTTCATGAAAATATAAACAATGGTTAACAGTATAAACTATTTATTTAAACATCAAGAAAATATGCACAAGGAGATATGGCTGAAATCTGAATAGATAATTGACTTCACCTATGTCCCAGATATTAACTTAGATGTTTAAACTTCTGTATTTACTTTGCTGCCTAGTAAAATTGAAGGCTCCATTTACCTCTGTGACAGAAAATACACTAAGTCATAGGTCAATGAAGTCAGCTCCAGTGACTCATGAGGTTTTTCTGTTTTTCAATATAATTCTCCATACACAGTTCCAAGCAGGTATTACTATTAAATGAAAACACAATTTAATAAAATATGCATAATAAAACTGCAAAATCAGCCAAATAAAGAAAATAAATAAATAATCAGACTCAAATATTTTTTCTCCCTTCATTTCTACCTAGCATTTTAGTCTCTCTTACTTCACATACACTTAGGTCACACTGAGGTGAAAATTTTAACATCAAGCTCACTTCTCATTTGGAGATTTGAACATACTTACTTAATCCAAATGGGTAGCTCTGCTGCTGCTAAGTACATTGATTATCTGCCCAGCAGGAGTACTACAGAAATTGAGAAGTTTGCAGACTCGATATTCAGTGTAATCAGTTCTGTGTCACAAGAGAGCTGCTGCAACCCACTTCTAAAGACCAAGAGTCAGAAAAAAGAATTTTAAATGCATCTTTAAAGAGACATGTAATGGCCTCCAGACACTAGGGATTTTACAATAATTTAATTTGGCTTCCCCTCTGGCACCAGTCAAATGTTTTTTTTATTATGAGACCGCAATCCGGTAAAGTTCGTAAATAGGTGTGCAGGCTGATCCAGATGAGTAACTCCACTAAACAACCACCTTCAGGTTATAAAAGGCTAATGCAAGCCTTTGATATTGATTGTCTTTGAACCTTTGAAGACTAGGTGTCTATGTGCTTGCTTTCTTATAGACAACTGTCCCAACCAGAACCAAAATTCCAAGTGTTTTTTCCTCCTAGCAAGGATGTTTTATAACTGGGTCTTAACACAGCAAAGCCCAACACAAGCAAAGTATGTTGTGAAACTCTGGCTCAACTGACATCAGTAGAAAAAGCCAAGTCTTAAACATCACCAGAGGCAGGATCGTATTTATTACATTTAGCAATCTGAATCCTTTTTCTTGACTGCTAAGTGTTCTTATTTTTCCCATGTTGTGTAAAAGTCAGAAGCATGGATGGAACAGCATTTTCTAAGGTGTTACTTAAACATAGAGCAAATTTAGAACACACATCTCAAGTATCTATAATCTAAGTGTAAGACAAATAAAGAGTTGTTGATGATGCAGTGCAACATCTTTGTTTGACTGGCAGAGGTTACAGACTTGAAAAAAATACTAAAGTATTTTCCTGTAAAGGAACAATGGGGAAAAGAATCTGAAGAAAGTAATGGGGCACTTGTGCATGTATTTACAGCAGAGTCCAGATATTAAATATTGTGGTTCAAGGCAGTGAGGTAGAAAACACAAAGAGAAATTATGGAGAATGGGTAATCACAAAGATTAACCACAGACAGGACATGGAGGGTGTTGAAACTGAGGAAACTTAATGCCTGACATGTTCGAGAGCAAGGATCTGGTGGTAGGGTTCATAAGGAAGAATGTACTCAAAGTGATTAACAGGGAAAAAGAGATTTGCAGCAGCATTCTGAATGGATCTTGAGAGGATACAGAGATCTAAGTAGTTCATTCATGATTTAACCATGTGGCGTCTCTGAGATAAAAACGCTTTTTCCAACAGCGCAAAAATTGACAGAGGAGAAGGATGACCAATATGTCTCCAATCAGTTAAGAACAGGATTAAGAGTGAAAGAGTTTATTCACAGAAAGGGAGATTACACAGATTTGGGATAAATACAAGAGAAGTTTTGCAGCTCAAGGTACAGGGAAAACAT